TGGTATTCACTAATAAAATAAACACTAGAGAACAGGTATAAGTATTTTGTAACTTATTCGTACAATAATTACAACTAAAATTACCAGATCAACTCCAACTAATTGAAGTTTGTCGTGGATATCATGTTGAATAAAATATTCCAAATATGACTTCATGGATAATAAAATATGATTAACGATTAAATTTTAGCAATAAATTTGTTAATACATTAAAACGGTACACTATCTTATGTTAAGCTCTGATAAATGATTATAAATATATAAACAAAATATTCACAATTCACTGGACTTCTTTTCACGTCGAAAATTATTAAACATGTTCGTTTACCTAAATTAGGTTCGACTTTTGTTGAATTGGCAAATGAACAAAATATGTTGTCACCCAAAATAGAGATTCATTTATCTAGTCTTAAAATATGACCACCTGTTTAAAAGACTAAACAATTGGATTACTATCCATTTTCATTTAATCAGTTTTGAGTAATGATATAACATCCATGACTGCAGGCTTTCTTTAATGTCAGTTATAATTTGTCTAATTCACTTAATTTATTTTCATCTAATTCATCAAGCGATAGTTGTATTAATCTTCAGAATTGTAATTTTAACATTCTTAATAATCTCGCAAAATTTTCTCACATTCTGTGTTAATGGTAATCAGTTTGAAGTGTTTTTTCTTAAAATTTATCCTAAATTCTTTAATCTCCTTTTTAAAGCAAGTTATAGATTAATGTTTTTAAAGAAATTAAAATTAAATGCAGTCTTTGCACAGAATAATCCGCATCCCTGGTTTTAATATTGATTATCAGCTTTGGAATCACTGATGACATTACTAACTTTTATGAGTTCCCAAAGCAATATAATGTAAATATTCAGGTTACTCATAATGCATTTGCATGTGAATTCGGTTGAACGCTAAAACCTAAAACAGCTATTATGTTGAATATATGTTATATATATATATATATATATCACGCTTATTACAAGCATATTAATCATTGGGTTGATGTATGTTTAGCTTCCTTATCATGTATAGTCGCCTACTTGTATCAAAACCATATGTGACCTCAAACATTATAAACTGTTTTCATACATTTTTCACAAATATTTAGCTGGTTTAAACGGGTTTACAGCATGATAATTATGCACTGCTCAATTTTATACTTTCATAATTTGTAAATCACTCAGTGTGACTTTTTGAAGTGGAATTATTTCTCTTACGGGCTGCTGAGTTTTAAACGGTTACATTGGAGTAACATAATATATTGGTATCTAGAAAACGTAACATTCAAGTTAACGATCACCAAATTCATGAAGGTTTTGGGATATCATCATGTTAACTAATTGTCAGTTTTAATTAAATGTTTAAACATTAGTCCTAAGCCTGTGTATGGGTTGTCGAAATCGAGATGTTTACCTGTACACCAGTGAGATAAGGATCAAAGTGTTTCAGTACACGCTACTAAAAAATAATATGTATCATAACCTGATTTTTCTGGGGTTGATTATTTCAAAAATATGACTTACTTCATGTTATGTATTAGTGAGTTTATTTGCTTGGATTTGAAGGAAACTCACATTTATTATTTAGTGAATACTAATTGATATGTGGTGTAAGCAGTACGAGATATCTTAATAGGATCAAATTAAACTCACTACAGTTTTGGTGATAAAAAAATTAAAACCATGTTCTATGAGAAGTTTGATATTTTCAAAATCGTAAACAGCATATAATCGCAACATCTTACAAACATTTAATTGCCCAATCGAATGTACAGTTTTTATTTAGTAAGGTTACTTTATTGTTTTGCCTATGTACTATGTGTGTTTATAAATTAAATAATGTTCAATCGCATTTTGAGTGACATTTCATAAGCTACAGTTTTTGCTTGACAGTATTTCATTTTTGGATCTATATGATTTTATAGAAATTCTGAAACAACAAAATCCCTTGATTGGATTGCGATACTACAGCTATCACCAGTTACCTCAAAATTTCAGGAAAAAATCAATGAATATCAAACAGCATGTAACCTAATTCCAGGGATTACCGGCAATTAAATTCGACGAGTGGATATCAGTTAAGAGTACATTATAATGTTAGGTCGGTAACATTAATGGTCATATTCCAAATTCTTTTATGATTATTATGAAATTAAAATGTTAACGATTATTACCAAGGGATCAATTAAAGTAAAGCTCGAAATTCCGTCACACTCTCATGATATGATAACCAACAAGAATTGATCATAGAATGTCTCCATGATGTGGCTATTCTTCTCCATTCATACTTTCAGTTTCGGCATGTCAAAAGAATAAACTACTGCTCAACTGAAAAACCCGTTCAAAAACCAGCTCTTACAGCAATACAAAGTAGTAACTTAAATTTAGAATACCTGGAAACAACATCGTGGGCATGTTGAAGTACTATAAGTGAACCTACAATTTAAAGATGACTTGGAGACTAACGTTCTATTGAAGGAAATTTTAAACTCATTTCGCAGAACATTTTCTACATTAAAGCTGAAAATTTTATTCAACGGATATTCATTTTAATGGAAACCATAGGATATTCCTTTTCATATGCACATGTCAATTCATTTGTTCAGTTTAATTTAATGGATGATAGTCTTTCGATGTGAATTATGTGAGACAGCGTTAAATAGTATTTTACTAAAGAAGAGATGATGAAAGGTCTATGAGAAGTGTTCTGATTGAACTCCTTAATGTTTTACGATACTGATCCATTAAGAATCCTCTGTACAAAGTTTCCCCATACATTTGTTGTCGATTAATCGAGTAAATGACATTGGACTCAACCTTTCTTGTAGAATTTGAACCCTTCAAAGCAATTATTGAAAGGCCAAATAGGTACGATAGTCATCTAAACAAAACAATATCATCCATCAGAATATTAGTAGAAAAGAATTCCTAAAACCGTTTGGTAGTGTCCACATAGAAGTCACTTGTAGTTGTAAGAAACTTCGTTAGATGCCTTACAAACAGTACTAGTAAAATATGATCAGGCAACTTTGTTCATTTAGATATATGTTGATTTAAGTGGGGTGCATACAAGCCTTTTTAAAGATGTAAGTCTGGCTACTTAAAAACTTACCAAAAATCTCAAACAACTTTTACTTGATGGATTTTTGTTATGTTCTACTGTCAACCATTAGATGTAGAGAAAGTCCCTCATAGAATGCATTTGATAACGTTATTAAAATACAATGTGGACAATATGAAACTTATAGCCATACAAGCGGAGCAATAATTTCTTTTTGTAGTTTTACAATAAACAAACAAGATACAACTGTTTGCTGACATATAAGATATTATTAGAAATGTGAAAATCTTGCCGTTATTTGTTTAAAAGGTTGACAATTTTGTGTTCAAGTGTGATGTTTTGCTAAGTGATAACTGTTTTGTACACTAATGCTCGCCTTATTTTGATCCCAATAAAATAACTTCACGTGTGTTTATAATCTAATTTCTTAATCGAGTGTCGTTTTATTTTTACGTTCTGGACATATCTAGGAATTTTTAGTGAGTAAATGAGATTAAATACTACTATTCATCACAAATGTTACTTGTCAAAAAGCATGCGAATTCAACTATGTGAGAAGACTGTTCATTTTATGTTATAAAGTACGTTGTGTTACACTTGATTTGTTTGGCTTTAAAGAGAGCTCAAATACTGTTTACTGAAACAATCAGACTAATCCAAAATCTCAATTGATCCTGATAAAGTTTTTTCATAATTTACTGAAATCGTTATACATTAGTTTCATCTTCAGGTGACTGACTTGCTAAAATCGAAGACTGAAGTTAAAATGGAAACAACTTGGAAAATAAATTTTTCACCTCGCTAAACAAACTTGGACACGTATTACAGATATGATTTTTATCATTGTGCTAATAATGATATCAATGTTACGACAGTCAGTTTGAATAACCTAAAGATCGTATATCAGAGAAGAAAAGCAGGATCGGAAATATTGTTCGTTTGTATGATACAGACTTGATGGATTGCGAGAAAAGGTAATCACAGAGAGATGGATGGGTAAAATATTAAACTATAATCATCAACACAATCATACGTAATGACTCTCAACGGTGCTTTGATTTTTTCAGGTAAATTATTGAACTCTGAGAGGTTTTGTGTTTTAATTTTTGCTGTTAAGAAATGAGCCAGTAATTCTTACTCAATCATGATGATTTATTACCCATGTCACTCATAAATATCAGAAACTGAACTGTAAAGGGACTATAAATACTAAGTAAGATTTTCAATCTTATACTCTCTTGTTCACATTTACATTTCTCTATGCAATTATAAGGTCCTTTAACCTATTTACCTCGAATTTTTCATACCTTAAACAGCTTATATCTGCTTAATTTCAAAATTTACGATGAAGGCAAAATTAATTACTCAACACTGTAAAGACATGTTAGTTTTGACACATTTAGTGAAAGTAGGAACAAAACTCTAATTATCCTAAAAGTTTTCTTCCAAAATCAGAGTTCTTGATAGTATACATCGTCGTTAAGATATAGTAAATTACGGATTTCAATCATAAGTCCAAATTTAGTGAAATTAATCCAAGCGGTGTGGTATTATTCAGTGTGAAGAATTATATACTACTGTTGACCATTCGATTAAACTCAAAATGTATCATAAAATCTTAAAATCAAACACACAGACATTAAGTAAAACCCTGGTTCATTATTTTTCTGTTACTAGATAAATTACCAAACTTTTGAAGGCACAAATTGATGAATTAGCATCCACCTACATTGAATATCCTATTTTTGTTTCTCTTATGTTTGTATTTTAATGTGTTGTGGGGAAGCCAAAAATAAATATTTATATCTAAGACATATCTGTATTTTAAACCAACAACTTAAAGTATGAATCTGATCTACTCATTGCTAGTGCTTTATAGTAATTAAAATTTAGGATTTACTAAACTTAAGGTTTAGTACCAAGAGTATTGGTCATGATACGAAATAGCGACGCCTTAAGACCTTTATATTGAAAGGAATGAAGTAATTACAAAAATTAGTGATTCGGTTTCTTTTCAGGCTTATAAAATAAGTACAAAACATGTGTAAGATATATTTGAGCATTTAAACAGGACGTTTTGAAATGCGGTCTGTTTTTATTTTGTACTGATATCCTTCTTGATTTCTTTTTCTAATAATTCCTCGATAAAAGAATATAGTGAATTAAATGATGGCCTTTTATCTGGTGAAATATTCCAACATTCAAGCAATTTGTTGTAAATATTAATAGGACACATAAAAGTTTCCACACTTTTTCGTTTGGGAACCTCGTACTCATCATCTACAGGTAGAAGAGTTTCTGTGAAGGATATTTTCAATATGGGACGAGGTAATCTGTAACCTGAACACACGCGTACTTTGACTTCATTGACAGTGAATTCTGAAATTGTGGCGAAAATGGAATAAAGATTAAATACTATGAAATACCAAATAACCATATGAACCAATAAGGAATAAAATAAATAACTGTTAATAGCTAAGAGTAGAATTCTTCGTGTAAATCCTAGCAATTGTGTGATGCTTTTTATTTTAGTGTTTAAATAAAAATGATCGCCTACAGATTTTAGGGGGATATAAAAGCCATACTATTATCCAGTTATTCACTCTTGAGAGTCAATAAACTTTCTATTTTAATAGTATTTTTAAGTAAGGTTTTGTGCTAAATCATCTCACCAAGTTTATAAGACAATGTTACCAAGGTTTTGATTCACACCATCCTTATCATTAATATGGTAAGTTTTCTTGAGAATAATTACCGAAATTCCTCTGTATTTATGGCCAAATTCTTTTCTCAAACAGTTACACATGTCAAGATTTATTCACCAACCAAGTTCAGACAATCGGTTCTCTTTTAAACCATAAGCACGATTATAATTTAGTGAGCTTATAGTTCAGACTATATGCAGCACCTAATTACATGTCGCATAATTCTATTCAGGCCTTCTAAAGAGGACAATTTTCAGTTATTGAAGCATTTTGTAAAGACACTAGTGCCTATGATATTAGGAATAGTGTGTGTATGTGTGCCAATAAAATCTGTGTTATTTATGCGGTGGTCTTGATTACTAATCTAAACAGGTGCAAGAGTGATAATGAATCACTTGCTTATTACTAGCTTTTTCTTTGTGTAAATTAGTTAATGACGTTATAGGATTTTAGAATGTGAATTACATTTGTGCAAATGTATAAATTATCAGATAAGAAAGGTTTTCTTATTAGTTATCGGCAAAACTTGGTTAACCTTTTAATACATAAAACGACGACAAACCATCACGATACCAAAAATCACATTGATTTTCATCGTATTTGCACGTAAAGTTGCTTTCCTCTGTCCCTAGTGAATGAATAACCACATCATTTAAGAAATAAATATGCATGACAGTTAGTCTAATTAAGTGATCAGCAAAATGTACTGGGTTATACGAAATTTTTTTCTGTTAGCTTTATCCTTAGTTTATGGTTTATGCAACAATAGGTCATTTAATGGAGACGTAAATTCCAAATTATCAGCAACTTACTCAAACGAAAGCGGTACTTGGCACAAAGAAAATATGCTGCAACACATATGAAAGTAGTGAGTTTTCCTCCTTAGATTTTATAAAGTTCAAATAAAACCAAAGTAAATACTAAGAAAAGAGTGAATTCCACAGAAATCGTTACAATTTAATCAGTAAGTTTAATTTATCAGTAGTAGCCCGGAGTCGGACAAGGCTGCTCACTCTCACCCTTTTTCTTTTTTCTAGTGGTTGACAGAATTATGAAAACCTTGACATCTGAGGGAAATCACGGAATACAATGGACTACTTGGATGCAACTAGACGATTTTGACTTCGCAGATGACCTAACCTTTCTATCCCATGCACACACACACTCACACACCAACAAATGCAGCTAAAGACAACCAGTGTAGCAGAAGCCTCTTCATCAGTAGGTTTCAACATACACAAGGGAAAAAGAAAGATCCTCAAATACAACATGGAGAACAACAATCCAATCACACCTCAGGAAGAAAGTCTGGAAGAGGTAGAAATTTTCACATAAAGTACCTGGACAGCATCATCGATGAACAAGCGTGATTCGATGCAGATGTGAAGGTGAGGATTGGCAAATCAAGAGTCACATCTATTCTTCTACAGTTAAGGAATATATGGAACTCAGAACAACTGTCTGTCATCCAATATCAAAGTCAGAATCTTCAATACGAACGTCAAGACGGCTACACTGTACGGAACTGAAACTTCGAGAACTACCACAACCATCATCAGAAACGCACATGTACTTGTAAACAATTGTCTACTCGAGACACTGAATATTCGTTGATTGGATCCCATCAGCAACAGTCTACTGTGAGAGAGAAGAAATCAGGAAAAGACGTTTGACGTGGATAGGATATGTATTACGGAAATCACCAAACTGCATCACAAGGCAAGTACTAACTTGAAACCGTGAAGGGAAACTGAAAAGTAGAAGGCTGAAGAAAACTCTGCGTCTGGAATCGGGAGGAGACATGAAAAGTATGAATAGAAACTGGGAAGAACTGGAAAGGATTGTCGAGTACAGAGTTGTATGAAGAATGCTGATGAGAAATGTATGCTTCTCCACGAGGGGTAACAGGCGTAATTAGGTAAGTAAGCAGTAGCTCTCCAATTATATTGGGCCGGTTTATGCTTATTAGGCTATAGGGATTCATCATATATTCTTCCGTGACTAGGAGGAAAAAATCATAATTATTTTGTAAAATTACTACAGTGTTTATGGTGGATATTGGATAGAAATTTCAGTAATGAAATATTTAAATGAAGGTAAGTAATTTATCATAAGGATACTCAGTGATCAGTAGTAAAATTACTTTCAATACAGGCTTGGAGACGATGTTCGTCAGTGGATAAATCAAGTAATTTTGATTAGTCTAAAGAAGTATATTGACTGTTTCACTCATTTAGTTAAAATCCCTGTTCATATCTTGTTGCTAGTATTTAGCGGCACTTGAATTCCACATGTGATATATGAGTGAACATTATAACTATGCTACTTCTAGTATCATTTCAACCATAACTCTTAACACCATTAAGATTTACAGAAAGTCGGAATACTGAGGTTTAAAAATAGACGTTATATCTTAGTTTGTACTCTAGAATCTTAACACCTGTTTACAAACCTGGACAGTAAAATATTAGTGCATCATACTACTGTTCAGATTATTTATTCAGCTAAGATATATTCAACTGATCCATTGTTTATTTCAAACGAAAATACGATTTATTTCTGCCAAAGTAATTAACAAGTTCTTATGGTTTATTTTTTAATAATTGAACTAAATATATTGTAAATTTTTCCATATGAAATATTAACTAAAATTACTTGTTATCTTGATAACCACTTATGAATAACCTCCGTCATTGAATGTTACCGAGAAAGCTATATAGGTACTTTAAGTTTTCATTTGTTTAGGAAAAGGTTTAGTGTCATTTGGTTATTATACAACAAAATGATGTACCACATGCAAAGTACACCTTATTACCTTTACTTAAGGTTCTAAAGCGAATAAATCTTTAGCATTCCTAAAGCAAACGTCCTGGATAAACTGAGCATCTGCTTATGATTGTCATATTGTAAAGTAGGATTTACCTACAATACACCGAATGTAGATGTTCACCACGAACACAACTGATTAAGAAAAAAAATAGCAGATATGTGTTTTTTGAATATAATATTTAATAAGCCGATTAGTGTTATTACTATCAAAGATTTTTAGCAGTGTATAGTTTATTGAATGATGATATAATGAAGATGAATGGTGAGTCTCATTTGACTGAAAACTCGACTAAATACCAAGTATGTCATCACACTTAAATTGTTTGTCTTACTTTGACGTAAATTGCAGTAAACATTGTCAGGTTTGCCAGATTGTACATATAATGTGTTGAATTTGGGATTACTGTATCGAAATCGATCACTGAATCCCATGAAACTAATGAGTTGGAAATTTTGGTTGTATATGGCCTAATTTATTAACTTAACCCTTCGCAGTCTAATGTGTTTCCTTTATCGCCCAATTTCCTAGTTAACTTGGGAATTCAGAGATGGAATTCAATATTGTGTTCAAAACTTCTGTAGTTTGGGTTTTTACGCAATCTTAAGGATTCCATTTACACATAAACCGTTTCATATATTATTATAACTAATCAAATTCTGTGCAGAGTGGCAAAGCTAGTATTTTGAGTGTGAATATAGTTTACGCCATATTATTGCTAGAAATACAAAGGACTTTTGTTTTAGGTTACATAAGAGTAAGAAAGCTAATAAACACTAACCGACCTTTGTAGGGTAATTCACAGAAGGTTAATATTTCATGAACCAGTATCCCAAATGACCACACATCTGATTTTGTTGAATAAGCTTGCTTTAAAATCCCTTCTGGGGCCGTCCATCGTACGGGATATTTGGTTTCTTATGGTTTGTGATTTTTGTTGTGCATTTCGGTAAGGATGACAGACAAATAGAAAAAGTCATTTCATTATTAAAACAAAAGTTACTGAAAAAAACTTAATGGTTGAATTACAAAGTAATTACTTAACAACATTAATATTGGAAGCAGAGATAAGTGTCAGCTAGCAGTGGAATCCGAGACTTGAGTTTCATTTTTTTCGGGATTTTTCAACTGGATGTACCTGTATTCCAGAGTTGGATTCGACTGCTAGCCACCATCTCTGTTTATAATTCTTGTGGCTTAATACCAAGATTAAGGCAATAGGTACAGGATGCACATATCGCGGATGAGACTGATCAGTTGCAATGCTAAAAGTCAATAAAGAAGTTCGAAAACCTAATGTTGTTTCAAGTAAACAAAGAATCAAAACACCAGCCAGTCTGAAAAAACTACTTTGTTGTAGTCTACTAAAATAATGGTTTTAATATTGATCAATTCCTGTCAGACGTACGTATTCATGCTTTTTTTCTAAGTATGTTATAGTCTGAAGCTCAAGCAAGCTTAATGATTGGTGATTCTAGTGGATTATTTTTCCAGCTGTTCAGACTGCTGGTGTAATCACCCATATATACGTTTCGAGAGGAGTTTTGATTTTAAAGGTTTTTAAATAAGATTTAAGGGCGGAAAGTCAAAAACGGGTAGATTTTAGTTTTTGTAATGCTTCCCTACCAGATGATCTTCAGTCATATTTTAGGAGAGAATCGTTCAATGACAAATATATCAAGAAAGTTTTAACTACTTAAGTGAGAACATTTGAAAAGTGATAGAAAAATCTATCTAAGAGCTGCACATGATAAAATAAGCAATAGAACTTAGTTTCATGTCTCATCTCGAAAAAATTTATGACTGGGAGGAGATACACACATTAAAACAAAAAAGCTATCTTTCTTCCTTTGATATGATAACAAACTGGACAGGTGCCAAGTCGAATTTAAATATTGCCTTCTGATGGCTTTTTTGGGAAAGAATCTATTGTACTAGTCTGGTGGCAAAATTTTATTTCAAGTAATAAATTGTTAAAGTAAGGTGGTCGAAGTCTATTAGTTTATGGATGAATATACATGGTATCACTCAGGAATACTGTTAAAACTGTGTATTCTAAATCATTTTAGAATGATTATTCATAAGCAGTAAAAACACACGTTTGATCTGCAGTTTAGTAATTTATTACTTTATCACTGAAAAAAATACCATATATGTTTGAACTTTTTCTTAATAAGATCGGAATCACTAATGCTTACCATAACTGATATTCATGACATTATATTTGATTAATTTATTTAAACTTCGTTTAGTTGTTTAGTTTGAATTAACACAAGTATTGACGTCAGGGTCATAGTCTTAACATCAAAGGTATCATGTGATACGTATGATCAAACACAATTTTTAAAACACTTATTTGGAATATAGACTGCGTTCAAAATACTATCATATATAAACAGTGAAGTGAAATCAGGTGTTATAGTCTAACTTACCCAGCGTTCCAATGTATTCGTCTGAATCACTAAGCAAATGAGCCAAACCGAAATCTGCCACCTTAAGTCTATTTTTACTGTCAACTAAAATGTTACTGGCTCTTAGATCCCGATGAACATAATGCTGTTCCTCCAAATGCACCATTCCTCCGACAACCTTGTATTAAGAAAAAAAACAGAGGTGTTCAAAACCTACTTATTGTACTTTGTGTATGAGACTATAGAGAATGTTGAATCGGTAGGTTTACATCATAGCTGTTCAGTGCTTCTTGGTTCTCATTGGTTGTCTAAGTCCGTGATACTAAACCTAATTATGGTAATTTAAATGTATTAGCAAAGATAGTCACTTGCAAATAGGATAAGCGTTCACAAAAATCTCTGTAGACCTAAATTAACGTTTATTTCAATAAAATCTTTGAAGATAATGCCAGTTTGCCAGTTTACGTTACATGAAACAAATCATACCTACTAGTTAACAATTTTTTGTCATTTTAGTATAAACAGCTGGGCAGCATTTCTAAGTGTCTTGTAGTTTTACTCAAACCAAACTTTCAGACGTAAACCTATGTCATGAACATGACGTTGTCAGTTTTAGACGTAATTTGTTTTCATAGAAATATGATTGTAAAACGGTGAAACGGAAGTCAACGGGATTATTTGAAATATCAGTACCACACTTCAGAGATGGGCAGCGTCAGTCGTTCATGAATATTACATATGCATATAATAAGAAATGTATAGAACATTAACTGACAAATTATTACTTATCTTTGTTTAGATTTCGATACCTCCATTTTATAAATCTTTGTTCATAAGAGTTGATTTTCATTCAGTTTTTGGCTGAGCTATTTCAGGTAATATCTCTATCAACCAACAGTATTATAGTGATTTAAGGTGACTAAAAGGTCAAAGAAACAGAAACGCGACTAGCGAAACATTCACTACATAAAAATTTTGCTAATTTTAAATTGAATTTGCTCTCATAATTTTTATTCTTGGATCGTTAACTTCAACTGATTATTTTGGAATAGAAGTAACTTCACATATTACTCTACGGAGCGTCTTTAAGAGATTGTATGATATATTGCCTAAAAGAGTGTTTTTTGCTGGTGAAAAGGATTGAGACTGAACATTTATTCCACTTAGAAAACTCACATCTTTCATCATTTCAAGTAGATTCTTCATTCTGATATCTACAGGATTAAGCTTCTGCATATACTGTTTCAAAGATCCATTTTCCATTAGTTCACTTATAATGTAAGTTGGTTCATTAGTAGGAAGTGTGCATACAGCCAAAATTCTGACTACATTCGGATGATTCAGCCGGTGCATAAGTTCAGCTTCATTCAGAAATCTTGCATGATTCATGTTACCATTCCCAAGTAATTTTTTTATCGCTACGGGCATTTGATTATTCCACGTTCCATACCATACTTCACCAAAACTTCCTTGTCCAAGTTTTTTAATGAATCCAAAGTTATTTCGATTTACTTCTAGCAAAGATAATTTTGTTGGTGGCTCGTAATTTTTCGGATACGGTGTAGTTAAGCAGCAGGCGATTCCATCGGCATTTACTTTATAAGACAAAACGTTGGTTATTACAGCCAAGAAGTAATTAGGATAGCTGATATATAATTGTGACGAGTAGAAACAAAAAATTTACTTACGTTAAACACACGATAACTTCAACAATTTTCCATGATGAATAATAAATGTGAATAATTCTACATTTTCTATAGAAATTGGAGTGGAATCCATTATATTCACAAGTTATTACATTTGAAGAAACTAAACCGATAAATTGGAAACTATTTACATAGCGGTCTACAAACAAATCATTATTTCTAATAGAGGTTACAGTTAGCAAGAAAGAGTGGATGGGGTGTAACAAGTTGAACATCATCCCCATTTCCTTTTTCTTAACGAACCGAATCAGACGATATTTTATAATGCGTTTTATCGTTACTTCTGTATTTTAAGACCAACGACCGTAATTTCATTAAGATATATATGAAGTGATCTGAATACATTGATTAAACATAGTGATTTGCTAATAGTTAATAACAGTAGATCCTTTTTTCGAATGTGTGTATTTAAAAACAGAGAATAATATCGTGTAGATTTGCTCATTTTTCAAGGCACAATAACAAACAATAAACACTATGAAATGCATGACTGGAATTTGATAGCGAACTGGAATTAATTCACAAAAGCGATTTTACTATCACAGAAGGAATTCCATATTTTTTTTTAAAAAAAAAACTAGCAGTTTTCGTTAAGTATAGTGAAAACGTGATTTGATGATAAGCAAAATATTATGAATTATCGAACATGAATTTACATGGGTTGTGAACCACATTTTGTTAATCCTAAAGATATTTTCAGTTGAAATAGACTTCGATGGATTATAGCTGTTTATGTCATTGGAGAAATTCGACATAGATTATGTTTTCGATCGTCGTTTCTGGAAATTTGTAGCATACTGACACGGCTGTATTCTAGAACCCTTTTATTCACCTAAAAGCTTGATGCTATCTATTTGAAAGTTGATATTTTATTGAACAAATTGTTTTATTTACACCTCACTTTCATAAAAAAATATTTCCTGAACCTGAAGTTCATCTAAGTAGCTGATGGAGTGCAAATGTAGCAAAAGAAGCAACTTAAAGTTTTCATTTTATTTGGGTTCTTATAACAATGTTAATGAACTTTATTAGAAAATTTAATTGTCTAACCTTTATTTCCGATTGTTACATAATTAACTATGACTACTTTATTTCCGATGTTTTGTGAATAGGAACATAATTGTCCGTGATTTACCTGTATAGTGTGCCACCAGTTGATCAATAGTCGGGAATGAAATGCGGCGGAATATATGATATTTTTCTTCTTTCAATCTAAATCTTATTCGGTAATGCTTCACTGACCAAATCAGTGTCGACTGGTCCAAATACCGTACTGATAGAGCGAATGTCTCATCTGAATCTAAAAGTCATATAGAAAACGTCAATAAATTTCATTTGGTTTAACTGCAGATGCCAGTTTGGAGTCATTCATAAACGTTCTAACTATAACATCGAAAGTAAAACAACGTTTACCAGTGGGAAGTATCAGTTATCGATATCTAGTCAGTTATTGTTGGAAAAATTTCCAGTTCTCGATTTATTTTATCTTTCCAATTCAAGTCATGACAAATATTAGTTAAATTTAACTTTGTAACTAACAAGATGCCGATTCATGAAACTCTTCTGTTTGTATTTCTATTTAAATAGACTAAAGTACATTCGATATTTCGTCTGAACTAGCATTTACGTGGTTTAAGGTTGTATCAGAAAAACTAAGATCGTTTACACGTTACTTAATATAGTAAGAACTAATATATACATAAGCAAGTGGAGAAAATAACCCCTTTTACAATCTGTTGAAATACTACTAATACAGAATTATCTAAATTAATAATAGGATTATGCAAAGCAGCATGCAGTGTATTATGTGTAAGTGAACTAATTAACTGTGTTTGCTACAGAGATGCTAATTATTTCAATACTAGTTTTTCCAGTTAACTGTATTTAATTGTTATAAAAATTGTGGTGGTTTGTCTGTACAACTTTAAATCAGAAACCAGGACCTACCATTATTTCCAAGACTTTAATTAATAAAATATAAGATACTAACAAATAAATCCGTTATAATTATAACGACAAATGCAGTTAAGGAAACGTGTTTACACTTGCTATCATAAATAAAATTAAATGCTCATGTTACATTCTAGAGTACCGAATGATTAAGTGTACAATTAGTGAACCTAAATGAATAACTCTGGGGAACGGTACATACGATTCCCTGTTACATATAATTACTTTTCGCAATCATCTTAATTACATGCTGCTAAAAGCATTTCAGCTAATGCCCCACAACTGGTTTTTACGTCTGCACCCCTAAAATATACATCAAGATGGCTGAGTAACAGATCAGTTGTCCTAATGCCCTGATTTGATGAAAATCGTCTTGAAGTCTTCAATCTTCAAGGTCGTCATCATGAACAGATGGCTTAGCTGATACTTTGGTATATAAATAATCTGTTACCTATAATATACGTATATTGTCAGGTAGTTATGCTACATTTACTTAGATTGATATGTATTTGAAAATCATAAATATTTATCGACGTTAATTAATTATGAAAACTGAAAGAATATTTGCGTTGCCGACTCAATAAAAATTAATTACCTGAAGATGGACGTATAATATATGTTCCCGACGGGTTACCCATTAGAAGCAGTAATCTTTCTGCTTCATTTCTGTCAATATCAAACCAGGAAATGTGGGTGGTTAAAGAATCACCAATAATTTGCAAATATTCTCCTGGCACCAATCCTTTCCGTGAACAGTGGTTAGACATATGCTTTAGCTCAATTCTTTCAACTAGCCAGAAATCTTCATCCTTTGTTAATGAGCTTGATCTACCTTCAATTATATTACGTGGAGCCGACACGCGATTAAGTATCAGTAACCTTTCTCCTTCTGAAACATTTAATTCATGAGGGTATTTTTGAGAGTACGTCATTTTGGCTACGGCTACAAGTGGTTGGACTCGCCTTTGTTCGCCCGAAAGCTTTCGATAATTTGAAATGCTATATGTTGAATCGCCGCTCAAGTTCTGTTTATTTTTGTCGTATAACCATTCTTCATAAAAGGGTAGTACAGGTTCCATTTGATTTTTGTTCAGAGAACATTTAGACATAATGGAAGGGCTAGAATTTATTTCAGTAATTTGTGCACTTTCAGTAATTTTCTCTTTTCTTGGATAAACCAAGTTTATTAGTGGGATTGTCTTTCCATAAACGTTTTCACTGGTTATACTTTTTAATTCCAATCCAGGTGATGACTTTTTTGAGTCGTTCTTTTTGACGTCACAATATAAGTATAAACTTTTTAAATGACTGTCTATTGAACAGCTTTCCATCCCACTGTCCTCGTTTGTAATACCTCTTGCTTTATCAGAATTTCGTTTTACTTCCACATTTGTAATATTTTCGGCAGTATAAGGTAATAGTTTTTGAGTTTCGCTTGGGGTATCTAGTTCTCTGCTCATGGATGGAGTCGTAAATAGTTCCAACACTGGTCGCGCAAGCTGCGAATTCCACTTCATGTCCTGTTTAACTAAAACTGAAGATACGTTTATTTTACCAGTGTTTTGTGAAAATAGCCCGTTACTTCCAAATGAATCAGGGTGAAAATCACCATTACTTGAGTTATTGTGGTGTGTCTGGCGTGAGAATATTCGTGTGAGTAGGGGAAGTTTTATATCAGAATCCATTTCGTTTAGGCCGAAATCATTGGGACTACTTCCATAATCCATTGTCTCACATGTGTTGCATTGCGAAATTCCAGAACTATCTCTTAGTTTATCCGATTGGGGTGCGTGAACCATGTCGTTCAGATCGATACCAGATGGAATACAATTACCCATTTCCATAAATACACATCACTTGATCAAGGGACTTTTAGTTGGTATGTACTGAATAATATTTTAGTAAGTAGCATCAAAATTTCTTATCTATTCATGATCAAGCTCAACAGATAAGTAATTGTTGTGCTATGCAATAAAAGTTTAAATATTTGGCCTTGTATCTATATCAACCAACCAGGAAGATTGAATTTTACGCCTGATTTTTGTGATACATAAAACACATCAACAAAATGCATGTCAGTATTTTTATCACCACAGTTGAGTCTATTGGTATAATATGAATATATGCCTTAATTGAGTGATATTTTATTACAATCAAATCAATAACCATGAATTTAAAAAAAATTGTAGCTAGATAGTGTACACTTGAGGATTATATCAACAAGCTTCTAATAAATATTTGTGATATTACGAAGCTATGAAGATTAAATTCAATTGATATTGCTTACTTGAATCTTCCCATTAATGTTTTGGACTGAGTTTGATCAGTCTCTTATTGGTATATATGCGTATTGCCTCGATATTGCCTTAATTCACAAGTATTATAAGCAAAGATGGATAGTGGCTAGCAGTGGAAATCAAGACGTGCATTTCGTCCTATTCGGGACTCGTCAGCTGGATGTACCTGCATCTCAAAGTTTGTGTTCACTCTTGTACTCGAACTCAGTACTGTTCGCTTCAAATGCCATAGCGTTATCTACTTAGCTACTGATTGCTTTTAGCCACTTGCTTTTGCAATGGGGTGAAGTTCAAATTCACTTGGTATTATTTACTTGAATGTTTAGGACGGCAATTGATCAGTGAACATCAACTCTAAGATGCAGGTACGCCCGGCTGACGAGTTCCAAATGGGATGAAACGCGCTTTGTCCTAGATTCCACTGCTAACCACTATCCATCTTTGCCTTTGAATCTACAAAGAGTTATAAATAGCCCCTTGTATTATATGTCCCAAATAGTTTATGGAAACGTCAACGAAAACAATATATTTCCTACAAAATATTTTGAATATCCATGTAAGAGTTAGACCACAGTAGTATTTGGCTAAATACCAATTCGGCATTATAAATTATGTCAATTTGTTATGAAAACATTAAACATAATTACCAACTCCAACGTTCAACTGTAAATCTTAATTCCTTGCACAAATTTATAACCATCATTTAACAATACTAAGTAGGTGGATATTTTTAAGGTCATTTTAGCGTTGCTCAAATGTCGTCCATAAATAATAGTCTCTTCCAGATATCGTGTCTGCTCATTTATAGGGCAAATCAGCTGTCATTGACTGAAGGCAGTAAATTTTATTTTATCGGTTAATTTTCATGTAATTACTTTAAAATAAGCTACTAAGTGAGCGAATACGCATTTATAAGTAGTGTATAAATGACTTTCTATGTCGTTCAGTAAATCTGGGGCATTTACACTAGGCGTTTTGAGCTATTCTGTTAAGAGATAATAATTGATAACTTTAAAAACCCGTAAAGCTCATAACATATAAGTATAACTTGGAACAGGTATTTAATTTGACAATGATAATGCGCAGGAATCAGACACGACTGACGGGAAACATCTTAATCAAGCACTTACAAGGATCAATATATCATTGTTATTTTGGAAAGAAATGGCACATTCATATGATTTCATTCAAACAAGAAGGAAATTCATGAAGTATATTTATATTTGTGTGAGATTAATGTCTTCGTTAGACGTTATCACAATGTTTTTTAAAGTTCTGTGCCACAAAGTGATATTTAAAACCCGTGACATACAATAAAAGTTTTCCGGTAGTAAATATTAAATTCAATCATAATAAGGCTAAACAGTGCTCGAATCAAGCAGATTGACGATAAATAATCCTTACGTATTACATTTATCAGGTAGATACATCAAAGTAGCTATATGGGTTATTGTGTGTATTATCATTCAAAGCACCATCTGGAAACATGTGATGAGCATTCCTTTTATTTATTAAGTATAAATTCAAACACTAATGTTGGGTAAACAAAACATTTCAAATGAGGATTCAGTGTGGATCTCTACATTTCTATAAGCTGTGTTTGGTCATATCCTAAAAGGACAATATGAACATAATATTCATCACTAACTCTTTTGATTTTGTTTAAGCTTAAACAAGTTATTCTATTTTTAGAAATACAAAATCCCAAACAGTATCCTTTAGCTTATAGTTGCTATCACTTGAGATTTAGATGGTAGTTGGAGGTAGTCAACAGGAAACCCTGGACCCGGGTTTCGTGCTACTTGGCACTCGTCAGCAAGGTGTACCTGTAATCTTGAGGGAACTGGTGCCAAGTAGCACGAAACCCGGGTCCAGGGTTTCCTGTTGACTACCTCCAACTACCATCTAAATCTCAATACATAGTGCCCGCAGTGTCGAGTCACCTAGAGTGGTGGCCACATTGCAACATGATCGATAGCATTCGATCTGCACTAATAAGAACTAGACAAGCATGACATTGATCACCACCCAGTGATCAATCAATTGTGATTACATCTCAGACCTACAGGAGGTTAGTCACGGCTCGGATAGCTCAGTGGTAACGTATTTAAGGTATCATTACCTAGGTTTGACTTGATAATTTCAAATAACTTGAGCATTGCTATTAATAAAAAGTAATATATTTCTAATATCGGAATGAGTAGAAACATTAGACTATCTGACGTTTCGTGACTCAATGTAAGCCACTTCTTCAAAGAATAAGTAACTTTAGATAAATATGAAGAGAGGGTTTTCCTGCTAAACAAAGTATTCATACAATGGAATTTCAAGTATTTCGAACTGATGGAATCAGTTTTTACTGAAAATTCCTTAGTTATATCATTATTCTATGAAATGAATTCATTAAACTAACAATTTCAAAAGCTAGGCCCTGATTTCTGTTCCCTAAAATTAATTATCTTTTTCCTTAAATGAAAACTGAAACTCTGTTGTTTGTTATAACGATGTTGAAGGTCAGTTAAAAACGAAAACAATACGTCATCATCAAAATGATTGGCTAGTCTTATCCATGAAATATTAAGCTATAAAATAGACATAAAAAGTGAAAAATATCTGATGTTTAGTATTGATAAATATTCTTGAAAGTAAAAGTATAAGTGCTAATCGGAAACATTAGGGTTTGAAGATGTTATCCAGGGAGTATAATCCAGTGAAGTAAATTTGGAAAGAGTAAAAAAGGGGCATAAAGAATTCAGATAAGAATTTGGGGAAACATAGAGTGGATGCACCTGCGCTATCGCAAACGATTTTGAGCTATATCATTCAAGGTCTCTGATCATCGTTTGCTATCGTCTCACGGATTCCAACCAGGTCGTCTACACCTACCAACATGGCTCAGTCCACTTGTCAGTGACTTCATGGATTTATGCCATATTGTGGTCTGGCCGCCCCTAACCTTCCTCCAACCTACTCTTACATCATAAAATATCTCACGTCGGGTCAGTTGGTGGTTGGGCATACGTAACACGTGACCCGGCCATCTCGACTGATGAAGTTTCACTACTTCATCAATTGATTTGCCATCCTTATCTGTTACCCATGTCTTAACAATTGCATTTCTTACTCAGTGGTCTCAGGATGTACGAGCAATGCTTCGAAGACACCTATGATCAAATACTAGTAACCTACGAATATCCTCTACTCTTACTGGCCATGTTTCACTGCCATAAAGTAGGACGGAACAAACTGCTGCGCAGTAAACCCGTCCTTTGGTTGATGGACGGATATCTCTCTTACGCCATTAATGACGCAAGTTGGCAAAAGCTAATTGAGCCTTCTATATCCGTGCTGAGATTTCGTCACACACCAGACCACAAGGGCTGATAAGATTCCCAAGATAAGTGAAGCGGTCGACACCCTCAACTACTTCACTCCCTATCACTAGTTTAGCTGCCGATGCAACCCAATCCTGAAGCAACATTTTGCATTTCGAGTGGGTGGATCGCATGCCGAACATGCTTGCATTGTTGCTTACAGTGGTCAGAAGACTCTGCATTTTGTCAGCGTCTTCACCAAATAGAACTATGTCATCGGCATATTCTAAGTCGACAAGTGAATCTCCTGGTAGAAGTTCAACTGAAAATTTAGATAAGGAAAGTGTTATCTCTAAAAACACGTCAAGGACAATGTCAAATAAGAATGGAGAGAGTGGACAGCCCTGACCAACACCACTTGATGTAATCAATTCTGGTGACGCAGCATACATCGATGGCACGAGATTCTAAAGTTCTAGCTAAGGAAGCTTGTTGTCCTATTAGGGACAGTATTTGGATTTTAAGAGCTTGTACATGTGGTTAAGATCGTCGTTTCAGGATATCGGGAATAACGTTTCGTGCACTCAAATCATTTGCATCTGCTGCGCGAGGTGATAAAGGAACGTGAGCAGGGTTAATCGTGGAGATAACAGAGTTATTAGAAGGTGTAGGAATGATATAGTTGTGACCAACTCGCTCTCGTGTGCTGATACGGGTATGAGGGCTGATGTCACTTCCCGGGTGCCCACACCATGGAAGGGTATCTCTTGAGGATCCTGAAAAGGAAATTGGATTAATGTTGGTCTCAACGACCTAGGTGCGTGGCTACAGAGCCCAAAGGAAAACTGCTTGAGGTCAACCGCGAACGGCGTTTTTGTGGAACGTTTTTAACGCGTTAGCTCCGTTCTTCAAAGGGCGGTACCGCCGGAGACGGAAATCCGTGAGGTAAGGTGAGGTGTGACGTTTTAAGGGTTGACGTTTTCTAACCCCTTCCTTCCTTGTGAGAAGGTAGCATCACTGAAGATGCTGGTTGTCGGAGGGAAACACCTTACTCCTGCCACACGCTCTACAGTCAGCAGTATGACTTCGCCCTCAGACCTTGAGTTGCTGCTTTTAGTCTTACTAGGAGGTCGAACCCAAAACTTTCTATCTCTCATGCAAACGCTTAACTTATAGATCACTGACTTGTCCAGTGTTTTCAAGTTTTCAGCAGTGGCCTTACTTAGATCAGTTTCTGATTTTAGTGAAAACATTATATTGAATTTGGCACTAACGTCAATAGAGTGTTTTTTCCCGTTCTTAGTAATCTCTCACATCCACACGCATATATACAAAGTAGAAATGAATAGTAGTTTTGTAAATAATTCACTGACAACTGGTATTTATTTACTTGGAAAATTTACGTTCAAATGGGTTTTATGTC